TTTATTTTTTATGATAGAATATAGTATTGTCATCAGTATGACATAAGTATACCAAGTTTGCAGTCGATATCACATTGGGAAGTGGGTAAAACCCGAGTTACAAGATTTGAGAATACAACAACGACAACAACAACAGACAAGAGTGAGTTATTAAAACGCGTGTAATAATAAACAAATAGCATTGAATCCATCCGCATACGAGCCAATTGAGATTAAATGTTTCCCATGGTTTCAATGGTCAGCACACCGGGCTTGCAATCCAGAGGTCACCGGTTCTATCTCTCGGAGTGCCAATTGATTCAATGGGGGTGGGGGGGGTGCCGCTTGTCAAACGTCTGACAGCACAGTCGGTGAAGTGACGCGTGGGTGCTTCCACCTCTTGAACGGTGTCTGGGCAGCTTCAATGAGTGAGCCAAAGCACTCTGGATGGGTTAAATTTCGATTTAAAGCTTTCGTGACTGCAGGGATTCATCTTCTTGGTTCTTTCGGTAAAGTCACGTAGTCCCTTCTACGTGAATTTACGGAAAGAACCAAGAAGGTCTGGATGGGTTCTCAAGAGCTCCCCTCTCGTTGAGGCCCGTCTGCCAGCAGTGGTGTGTGCAAGACATTGCAGGGGGGGTTGCGCCTCTATCTTTGAATCACAGGGGCGGGGTGGGAGTGGGCCGTGTGCTTCATTAGGTATGGAGGCAAACTTGCATACTGCTCAAATACAATGTAAATATTTATCTTTTCCCCCTGTGATGAAACCTTTATTCAAACCTGCACACGTTTAAACGACGCTCTCACTCTGAGTGCAATGACAATCTGTGGCCCAACTGTTTTATTGCCGTGAGGACAGGAAGAGCATGGACACACTCTTACAGTCTCTGTGATGAAATATGCAGCAAAGCAATTTAGGTACTTCAATGTTCACAAACATCCGAGTCCCCAGCTAATTTACAACGACATCCGAGTATAACTACGGGTAACATTTATGTTTTCTTTACCATACAGCAATTATTTAGAAAATAAATAAATAAAAATCCACGCTTCTATCTCCACATATTACAGAGTCCATCAGCGCATTGGTTTCCACACCAATAATGATAAAAGTTTTGATTTAAAGCTTTCGTGACTGCAGGGATTCATATTCTTGGTTCTTTCGGTAAAGTCACTTAGAAGGGAAATAATAATGATAAAAGTGATCACAATCATGATGCTTAGCCCGATGTCAATCCACTGCTGGATGAAGGTGATCTAAGCGTGCTGTGTTGGCCCATGGGGGTTTGTTTGGCTGTTTGATCATACTTCACCAGGCTGATCCGTGCCTGGAATCTAAACTCAGTTTGCTTGAATAATATGGGACCTTTATTGGGCTGTCTGCCTTTTGGCGTCCTCTGGTCTAACACTGTTTGAGACGAGTCTCTAAAGAAAGCTGTCTCTGGAGTGGACCAATCAGTTTCAAAGGCAATGCATCATATACTGTCAGAGCGTGTCTTTTGTTTCCATGTTCACCACAAGTACTGTGTGGTTAATGCGGACAGGATTTCTTGCAATAAGTTTCTGTTTGGTGTTTTAACATCTTAACACCTTGACTTAAAGCTTTCGTGACTGCAGGAATTTATATTCTTTGGGTCTTTCGGTAAAGTCACGTAGGTAGGTTGACTTTACCGAAAGACCCTAAGAATATCTTAACACCTGTTTTATTTACTGCTATAATGAGCCAAACATGTCTGTGTGTCCCGCGCGTGACGTCACGCCACGTCGGCCAGCCCCCCTCATTAATAATCATGAGCAGGTGACGTCACTCCACGTCGGCCAGCCCCCCTCATTAATAATAATTAGCGGCTGACGTCACTCCACATGGGGGGGGGGGCGAGGCGCCTCCTCCCCCCTCCTCGACGTCAACTGACAACCCTCGCTACAAAGGCAGAAGCCTCACGTCACGTGATCTCCGTCACGCTGTTGAGACATCGAAGTAAAAAGGACGTCGTAATGAACAAGGGATGATAACCTTTAAATTAAATAAGTCTGTGTCACCACGCCCTTACAAATTGCACGCGAATTGATGCAATTAATATATCACGTCGCGGTCTGCTTTTCGCTTACAAGTTTCAGATTTACTGCAATACACCCGTCGTCCTTAGACGGGCTAAAGGCGAGTTGCAAATAAAAGGTAAAACCTATTCTGACATTCCTTTCCAGTTTGCTTTTTTTTGCGTGATACGCTAACCATCTGCTCAACCCCCGGACCAAGCACCATCGCGCAGTATTTATTTAGTCAAGAAAATCCTGGACCGGTGTGCAAAGACCCCAGTGTGTGGATGGACTAGTAAAATACCCGATTGTTACGTGGAGACACAGAACAGATATGTAGGTCTTCTTGGTTCTTTCGGTAAAGTCACGTAGAAGGGAAATAATAAAATAATAAAAATAAAACATAATAAAATAATTCTGTCGGGGAGACAGCGTCAGACTCTGTCTCCCCGACAGACCAGGTCTTCACCTGAAGACGGCTGCTTGCGTTGTGGCCGAAACGTCGTGAGAATTATTTTATTATGTTTATTTTTATTATTTTATTAATTCCCTTCTACGTGACTTTACCGAAAGAACCAAGAAGATGAATCCCTGCAGTCACGAAAGCTTTAAATCGAGATATGTAGGTGTTCATATAATTTTGTAAACTACATCTCCGCCACAACACATTACGAGCGTGTCTATTTTACTTCGCTTGCACACACGTTCAGCCGATCAAGAGTGAATGCGCTAAAAAAACAACTGATTTTCATTTCGGAAAAAAGTAAACATTTTTCACATGGTAAAGTTAAAGAGGTAAAGGTGCAGCCCTGCAATTGCCTGCTCACGCCGCTGCTGGCAGACGGAGCCTCTCCACCAGGAGCTATAGACAGACACGGTATGGGGTGATTAAGTGGACTCTTCTACGCAAGCCCAACATCACTGAAGAGCAGAGGTCGCAACCGGGTACCCGATACCCGTACCCTACCCGATACCCGGCTACCCGTACCCGGCCGGGTACGGGTACCCGGCCGGGTACGGGTAGCCGTTTGCGACCCTGGTGCGGCCGGGCACGGGTACGGGTAGGCCGTGAGTCACTGGTGAGTAGCCGTTTGTCACTCATTTTGGGTAGGGTACGGGTAGGGAACGGCTACCCGTACCCGGCCGGGTACGGATACGGGTACCCATTTGCGACCCTGGTGCGGCCGGGTACGGGTAAGGAATCAAAACCCGTTTGCGACCTCTGCTGAAGAGGCGTGAGTTACCCGCCACTCGACCCCCACTACACACGAAGTGCCATGTGTTTTGTCTGTTACCAGGTAAGGCCCACTGAGCGTTATAGCTCTTTGTCAGAAGCGACCTGGCCACAAATGACAGCTCAACAAAGTGGTTCGTCACGTGGACATTTATAGCAGCCAAATACTCTGAACTGGTGAAATTGACTGACTCTTGTTAAAACTGTCATGCTCCTTTTTATATCTCCAACATTTTTTACGGGTTGAAATTGTGAATTCGCTTATAAAAATGTTTTCCACATGGTCAGCATGCTACCATCAGAAACAACCGCGTTGTTTAATTGAGTTTACAATTTAAAAACGCCTTGGGAAATCGCTTGACATTCTATAATACGTTGACTTTAGGCATAATTTAATCTTGATGTGGATCCTGAAGCTCAGTCAAATAACTTTGGAGATATTTCACGCGGTGTATTTCCCCTGTGCGTGTGTCAATGAATCTGTCAGTTTCTATGCATGAATCACATACACGCAGCGCAAGACTTAACTGCTGGCCATGTTGTGTTGGTTGATTTGGACGTTGCTGAGAAAATATGGATTCCATGGAGACAATTCATGTTTTTTTTCTCGCTCGCTGTCGCCTCTTTCTGATACAATGGAGTGCACTGCATTGGGAGATTTCCGCACGGATTCTTGGTCTCGATTGAAAGACGAAACAAGTGTCGTGCAAAGATGGAGACCCAGTCTTCTCTGGAGGCAACACGTTTATTTATAATAACTGTAACGGTAACACAAGGTCCCTGACACAAAGGGGTATCGGCCCCTTCCACTCGATACCCTGGGGAGGTATAGCCTCCGGGCTCGCGTGTCCTAAGCACTGGGATTACTTCCTCTATATCAGCCCTCCGGCCAGGTGGACCTAGGGGAGGCTCGCTGACCCGACCCATCCAAGGTCCTCGGGGTCCCGGGCCACTGGCCCACTCGGTCCGGCCCTTAGAAGTACGTCAGGTCCGGGGGTTCCCAGGGTCCGAGTAAATAATAAGGCGTCCATACAAAATGTGAATTTCTTTAAAGTAGCGAATTAATTGATTGATGCCGATTTTGATACAGGCATGCAATGTCACCGGATGTGAGTACGTGTGCAAAATGTGGAATTGAATGGACAACGGGAAGTGGACGAAATTTTGATTACAAGATTTGACCACGACAAACAGAGGAATCAAGTAAAACCGTTGAAAAAGAGAGAATATTTTTTATGCATTCAAACTAAGGCTGAAAAACGCATTTGTGCATTCGCTTTTGTAACGGGAACATGCAACAACTCTCGCGAAGGTGATCCAAAATGAAACTTGGGATCCAATGTTGCGTTGATATTTGGGGCTCAGCCCAGAGGAGAGCTCCCTATAATTGATGAAAGGGACTGCCCAAAACTTGGGAGACCAAAGCCAGAGCAAAACTAAAATAACTGAAGTATTTGGCAATAAGCAAACGCATTTTTGCCCGACAGCTGCTACCCCTTGGCTTCTGTACGACTTATTAAACGCCTCCGATAGGAAAACGTTAAAAAGGCAGTTTAACACGTAGTAGGCTTTCGCGACAAATATCTATAAAGATTTTTTTGGGTTAGATCAAATAAATGTCGTTAGACTCGCCACCACCCGACAAAGCCAATTAGTAAGGTTTGTCATGTAAACAGAACATGCCAATTAGTTACTAGTACAGCACACCGGTGTGTCGGAGAGTAAACCCACACATTCCATGCCTTATGCATGATTTTTCTAATCTTTTATTTTTCTGATTTCGTTATGGATAACATTCAAGTTTTGTATTCATGTCTGACACGAGCATACCCTAAAACAGATTAAACAGCTCGGTATCCGAGCTGCTAACCTGATGATGCCAGATAAACATCCCGCAAAACGTCGTTATCGATTGAAACGCCGTGTGATCTTTGATTCTCTTCAAACAACAACATCGGTGGCTAACGCTGCCCAAGCTGCAACAAAAGCGGCAACGTTTGTCCACGTGACACTTTAATTGATTGGAGGAGGGTTTATGACACTTTTTTTAACGATTTCGTGCAAAAAAAGGCAATTATTAATCGTCACATTGGTGGTGAAAGCCTCCCATATAAAATTAACAGGGTGGGGGGGGGGGGTGATCTTATTTCATACCCGTCAACCCACACGGTTTACCCCGTATTCTTGTACGGGGAAATTGAGTATTTGCGTCCATACGGCGTACATCCGTTTCAATACGGGCAAAAAATAATAATATGGTCAAATCAAATTATAGTGTATTGTTTAACCCTTCAGAATGTTGTTGTTTATTGTTGTACATTTAAAACATGAGTATGTGCATCCACATATCAGGAAATCAGCAGCATCAGCATGCAATATCACAGACAGTAAGTAGCATGATAAGTAGCATCATTAACACGAATTATAAAAATGAATACATAAAACAGTTTTTGTTTACCAACATCATTTTTGCCTATTTGTTTGCGTTTCTCCCTTGTGATGGGCCTTTGTAGGATGAACGTTGAGATTTATAAGAGGCACGGGGTGACCAATACGGTCTGAATTGGTCTGTAATAGGGTAGATATTGATAAGGGGTTGACAGGTATGTTATTTCTAGATGTCCCACTGATTTATGACTATCTTAAGTGATCATCAATGAAATTAGCATACAGCCAAGCAGTGAACGTTGTGAACAAATCACACTGGCTATGTTGTAACTTGCTTACTTGATGGACATGTGTGGAAAAAAAGCTTCATAGAGGTCATAGGATTCATCCAGTCGAAATAAAGATTCTGATTATGTTGGGCAAGGTGTACGAGTCGATTTATAATCAGTGTTTACAGATTGGTGGGGAGACTTGCAGAGGCTTTGAATTAAGATGTTTACTCTGTATTCTCTCCCTGTTAGTAGAATATCAATAAATGGATCACCCCTCATATATACTTCATCAAAGTGAACACAATAATAAATGTATAATTACTATACCATATAATTAAGCGATGACGGTGAACATCGTTTATAAGGCGTTGGCTTTTAATGTACAAGATATCTGTTTTTATTACATCAGACGGCACAAATTAAATTATCAAAAACAAAAAATCCGTATCATTGTATAGCTTACCGATGGTTCTTGCATGGAACAACTGCTTGCAAAAAATATAATCGTTTAATAGATAGCTTTTTTTAATTAAAAGTTACACGTTTAAAACACCTCTTAATTACAAATCATGCTTTACAAAAAGCACAGCTTTTGTAATGGCGAGATAATCTCGCTAAAACTTGGCATACACAACCGTGGTTTACCGTTCCTAAAAACGTCTATTTACTTTTCGGCACGAGCCACTCGGCGAAGTGACGATTCACGCTCGAAGCAAATCGCGCAAGTGTCACACATTCGGAAGCACAATTTCATTCCTTCGTTCAATTTAGAATCTGTAGTGGCTGTCGGGTTCTCACCTCGGGTGCTAATCAACGATGCGATAACATAAAACAACAAAAAAATAATAAGTGACGCTCGCGCGTGCGCGCTAACCGTTGCGAGCATCGCGGCTACGGGGAATCCTCGGTGGCATGCGTGGCAGGGTTGGGGCACTCGCGCCGATTTTCCACTGCGCGGCGATTGGGTCCCGCTTGGCTCAGGATGCGCCAGGTTGTTTTTTTCCAGCCCCACTGCGGAAGTCGAGCCGTGCCGCCACCGCCGCCGATGATGATTCGAGTCGAGACGCTCTGTTAAAGAGGACAACGGCGACGCTGCGTCCTCACATCCTCGCAGCGTCGCCGACCGATGTCGCGCGCAACGAACGAGTGAAGATGCAGCATGCAGCCGAGGCGGTGACGCGGTCACCTCTGTGTCAAGCCTGACATCGTACGCAATGGACACGTCGCGAACACACCAACCACCCTGGCCGTTTTTGGCACCAGGCCAGATTTAGAGGGCGTGGGGCCACCGCATCACGGTTTGGCGCCTGCTCAGCTCGCTAATTAGCCAGTGGAAAACCACCAGTAGCAGCACCGCAAGGGCCTCGTTCTGGCTCGGCTCGGATGTGTGAATGTAAATTTGGTAATGGTGGTTCTTTTAAAAGCTCCCTACACTACGGCTCCCTAAGCCCAAATAGTTGACGTCGACAACGAAGAGTTAGAATTGGTTCTTAGACGCACGATTCATCGCGTGTACCGTGAACCGTTATATTGCCGACGAGAAATCGAGACTTGCCACGCGGCACATTAATACTTGGGAGGAAAAAACTACAAAACTATTTACCGTTTTCTGTTATCAAAATATAACAAGCAATCAAGTTCTTTCCATGTCGATTTAAAAAAAAAAACGCTTGATTGCGCAGAGATGTTATTTCCCTTCGTATCTTGGGTTGACTACGGTCGTGACGGCGCTCTTGTAGATCGGATTCTCGCCCTGGAAAGCAAAAGAGAACAACAATTAACGACAACGCAAACACGCTGGCTACACAACGTCGCATGCAAGATCGGAGCTATTTTGGTCCCGTGGTGATGATGTATTCGTTCCACCTGCTTGGCTGGACTGATGAAGTCACCATGACTAGTGATGCTCAGAGTATTCTCCTTGGTTGTAGCTCGAATCATGTGGAGGTATAATTTTTATCCAAACGTCTCACATATAACGGTATGGATTGTGTGTGGATTGCCTTGCAATCAAAGCGGTTTGCCAAATACAACATCAACTTTAACTGTTTGGCTGTGTTGGGTGGAGGAGGGTCAACGACACAGGTTGGCTTTATGCTCGCTCGATCCAACTCAGAAACGGATCACGTAAACCTACGAGTTAAATTGATGTTCCCGTTAATGAAACGTATAGCTTTGTATTCTAGTTTAAGTTCTCATAACCACACTAGCACCGGTGAAAATTAACTCTTGCTAAGTCAGAGCATCAGTCTAAGTCATGGCTAACTTGTTCACCTCGTGCCTCGACTCAAAGAACACAACTGCGATGCAAAATGGTGATCGAGATAAAATAAAACAAGAGGTCACGGGCCCCTTCAGAACATGACAGTCAGTTACGGCAGCTAAAGAACATCCCAGATGCTGAGTGGTGGAGGCTCGTTAAGAGTCAAGAGTCCGATCTTGGGGCTCCGTGTGGCCAGCAGTGGAGGAACCTTAAAAGCTACGCTGCCGCAAACGCTCCAACGCACAGCTGTGGCTTCATGCCAAGGATAATGCGACGCCATGGGCAGCACACGTTGCCGGTTGGCGTTCGGCAGCGTGGCACTGCAGGGCATTTCCATTACCAGGCAAGTGGCACACGCTCGCCCCGCGCTTTGACATTTCAAAAGCACGCGCGCATCGTTTTCAGCCCGATTTCATCGCGATCGTGCTTTAGGTGTCACGTCACGAGACGGAAAGTATCCATGTGGATTTCTCACTGCAACCCACACCGCAAACCTTTGCCTTTTACAAACGGCCCCACGGTTAGTGGACATCGCAGAACCACACCCCCTGCCTCCCTCCCCGAAATGCCTTCGGGTGCCCTCTGCTCCGCACACAGCAGAGGGCAGCGCTGCCCACTTGCTCTGCCGTATGACAGCGAGGCTCGTCGCGTGATGGTCAAAACCGACATTTGAATTCTCAGGTGCTGGAATTTGCCGAAAATTGAGTGCAGGACAAATTGTAACGCGATCAGTTTTTTTTTGTGTGCAGTAATTAGCGACCGGGCTAATACCATCAACTCAGTTTCATCGTAGGCCACTGCCCCGGACGCAAAGTGTCAAATCTGTAACGTTCCAAACCGCAGGAGGGGTAGTGCCACACCCAGCACTTGCGAGCGTCGAGTCCGGCAAAGTTTAAAAAGGGTTTCAGAGTTGAGGGTTAGAGGTGGGCAGGAGGGCATGCCGAGGGGGGTGGAGGGGTGGGGGGGGCAGTGAGCACAGCACGCCATGCACCACATGCAACATGCGCTCCACGATCACGCAGGCGATGGGGGGAGCGGGCGGGGAAAAAGGAGCGGAAAAGAATAAAAAGATTACGAGCAAAGATGTTCAGGGAGGGACGCCTTTGCGTCCAAAGTTGGGGTTCTTGAAATTATTTATGGGGCTGCGGTAGATTGGGTTTTCTTGCTGCTAGGAGAAAAGAGAGAAAGAGCCAAGGAAACGTTATGCAGTCGCGGCGTCGAATGGAAACCACGCTCGGTCAAATGCAGACAGTCAAGTCGATGGAAATGTTACGCGGTTCTGGTGAAAGGAGGACACAGCTCAAGACAGGGAGTGTGCATGGAGGTGTACAAGTGTATGTGTGCGTGTAAATGTGTTTGTACGTTGAACTTCTTTTGCACCATACAGAGCCAAATGTGCTAATCGGTGGTGCGGGGGGGGGGAGGACAAACTAAACACAGAAAAAAATGCGCACACATGTCTGCGAATAGGTGTACGTGTTCGTTTGTGTTTAAATTAAGCGTGTAACGGTGCAACGATTAAGTTGCAATTCGCATACGTTGTTTGTAAATGGTTCATGTAAACCCAGCAGCCGCTAGGAGGCACTACATTCACCACAAAAGAATGAAAAAATATTGATTCTGGAATTGAATCATGTTACCGAATCATTACAGTTCCATCAAATCGCCAGATACAAATCATTACATGCCCAGTGTGAAGGCACTGTGTCTAACAAGGGCTTTAAGCTTCGCTAACGAAAAAGACTTTCAAACGACTTTCAGACGCACTGGCAGCGTGCCCAAGTGACGCTGCCACAGTAAAGTGGTGAATTAAAGGACGCGTCGAATGGCACGGCCAATTAAGGGTACGGCGCGAGTGCCCTAACCTTAGTCCTGTCTCTACTCTGTATGATAACTCTAGCCCGAACTCAAGTTCTTACTCTATCCGTAACCCTCACCCGAACACCAGCGCTGCCTCAAGTCTCGAACCCTCACCTCAACCCGAACCTGGCCCCTAATCCTGCCACGCCGGGCGGTGGGACGGGGCCAATAGCCCCCCCCCCCCCACCCCCCCGTGCCCGCGCATGGCCGTCTCACCGTGTCCCACTTGGCGTTCATGCGGTCCTTCTCGAACTTGGCGAACTCGCGCCGGTCGTGGATGATCATGAGCAGCTTCCAGATGAGCAGCAGCGCAAGGCCGATGAGCACGATGCCCGCCACCACGCCCGCGATGATGGCGATGATGTTGGGCTCCTCGGGGCACTCTGCGACGACAATGGGGTAGTGCATGATGACGAGTGGGCACGTAAAAATGTTGTCTTTCGAGTACGTGGCAGATATCAACTTAAAAAGAGCGATATAGCAGCTCAGTGGGGCCTTACCTGGCAAAAGAAAACAATAGTTCATAGTTTATCTCGTCTCTCCATCTGCTCAGTGGACGTGCAATGAAGCTCACCCATTCCCTCTGGCTGCCACTGTCATTCTGCAGTGTCGTATAGTCTCAATGAATGAGCAAACATATAAACAAATACATGTCGCAGGATTGTGAGTGATGGTGGCGGTTTAGGGAGACCTTAATTCATTTGTGTGTTAGCGACGGCTGATGATGATCATGGAACAATGATTCTGTCCTCAAACAAGCAATGGGTGGCACACAGAAGTACTGTTGGGCCAATGCTCGTTTTCCAGCAGCTTTCTATTTAAGCGGGTAAGATCTGGACCAGTCTTCTTGGTTCTTTCGGTAAAGTCACGTAGAAGGGAAATAATAAAATAATAAAAATAACACATAATAAAATATAATTCTCACGACGTTTCGGCCACAACGCAAGCAGCCGTCGTCCTCAGAACTGGACCAGTTTCGACCTTTTGGGGCCCATCAGCAGGCTTAAAAAAAAAATCTGCTGTAGGGGTTGCTAGAATCAAAAATCAAAGAACACTGCTCAGGCATGGATCTGGAATAGAACCCAGTTAACCGAAATAGCAGAGCGCGCTGCCCAGCCACTCATGCCAGCAGCTTCCCAACCCCGTTGCTGTGCACACCACGGTCAGCAAATTACTTTTGCGAAACAAAATCACTGCAGGAAAAGTGAACAAATCATTTGGCGCTGCCGCTGCATTGGCGGTTGTGCACAAGCACAATGAACAAAAAAAAACGCTCACATTCTTCAAACAATACTGGGGCCTTAAGAAGGGGGAAAACTATATATACGTAGGTGACATTTCGGGCAAACGGATAATTTTCATCGCGCATAAGTAGGTCGAGCCGATTGATTTTCGTTGTATCCAAGCGATCCGTTCACGCCGCCTAGAAAATGTTTCCCCCCCCCTCTCTGGGCACCTGCCAGTTCTGCTCAGTGCGGAGCGCAGCGAGCGCCAGCTTCGTCGTCACAAACTGCACGGCGCACAGCGGCGACGGCAGAGGTCGCAAACGGGTTTTGATTCCGTACCCGTACCCGGCCGCACCAGGGTCGCAAACGGGTACCCGTACCCTACCCGATACCCGGCTACCCGTACCCGGCCGGGTATCGTGTAGGGTACGGGTACCCGATTGCGACCTCTGGGATGAAACCATGTTGCAGGCGCGGGTGGGTTGATTCTAGGAACTTGAATTGTGAGAAGAGACAAGACGTTGGGAAATGAGTGACAAACGGTTACTCACCAGTGACTCACGGCCTACCCGTACCCGTACCTGGCCGTACCAGGGTCGCAAACGGGTACCCTTACACGTACCCGGCCGGGTACGGGTAGCCGGGTATCGGGTAGGGTACGGGTACCCGGTTGCGACCTCTGGGCGACGGGGCCGTCTGCCCAGGGTCGCTAGAAACGTTACCGAGCGGAAACAGCCATTCGTGCTTAGCGACGTGACCGGGAGATGGCACCGCGGCAATGGATCATTGAATCCATCAGCGAAGTGCATTCGAGGGTTATCTCCTCGCGCGTGTGCATTGGCTTTCTTTCTCCACAATACTATTGACGCGATCTAACCCAGAAAAAAAATCTGTACAATGGATGATATTGGTCGCGAAAGTCTTCTAGGTGTTAAACTGCATTGGCTTTCTCTCCGGGCGTTACCAGTTTCCTCCCAAATGCTCAACGCTCATTTACGGAAGTGGCCAACGAAGCAATAACTATTTAACCCGAGGCGCCCAGCCTAGAAAACTAAAACACGGAGCTAAAAGGGGGCCAATGTCACAACTGGATGAAGGCCCCAAATATTTTGCTGGTCATTGCGAGCTGAAGGCAGGGGACAGACGTGGGAGCCTGGAAATAGAACACAACGACAGATGTTGCTGCGCTGCTCTTTGCTGCAACGATGACAATCGACACCGATGACATCGGTGGTAACAACGCAACGCCGTGGACAATGCAGGCGGCCGCCAACCGTCATCATGGTGTGCAGCTCTTTGCTGCACACCATGATGACGACGACAACGATGAAAATGACGATTATAATGACAACAATTGCGACAAATTTTTTTTGTTAAAACGGTGATGACAACGATGGCAAAAACAACGGTGATAAAAACAACAACGGTGATAAAAACGACGATAATAACAACGATGACAATCGACACCGACAACATCGGTGGTAACAACGCAACGCCGTGGACAATGCAGGCGGCCGCCAACCGTGGCGGCGGGGAAACGTACCGACTTTGGTCTGCACGTAGACCTCGGCGTCGCTCTTGGCGTACGTGAAGTTGAAGTAGAACCAGCAGTCCTCCTCGTTCTTCACCTTGCAGAAGGCCGTGTGCTCCGTGCTCTCCCGCTTCTCCATCTCCTCCACCTTCTTCACCTCGAACTCGCACTTGTCGCATGTCTCCTTTTTGGGCCCCGTTTGGAAGGCCTTGCACTCCGCGCAGTCCCTGCGGAACGGCGTCGTAGATTAGGAGCTGGGACCGCGAGCCTCTAAACTTGACAAGGCCCGCGGGCCGCTGGCGGCCCCTGGTGGCCTTTAGTGTGACCCCACTGACGTGTGGTCCCCCGACAATGCACAAAAGTGAAAACACCCCCATCATGCTGTCAAACCCAATGGTTTAAAAATTGGTGGCCCTTATCGGCAAAGGTGGCCCACCTATGGAAATTAGTGAACACTGCTGCAAACTAAAACAATATTTACTTTACCAGGTAAAACCCACTGAGCTAACGAGCGCTTTTTCAGAAGAAACCGGGTCGCAAATGACAGCTCAACAAAGTGGCTTATTACGTGGACATTTAAAGCAGCCAAATATTCGAAGTGCACGTTTCTAAATGTGGTGGGGAAAAACTGGAGGACACGGAGAAAAATCCCGCCACCACAAGGATAACATGCAAACTCCAAATATCCAGGCATCAGGGTTGGGATTGAACCCACGACGTCCTGTATACCAGGTAAGGTAGTTAACATCTTGCCACCGTGGCTCCCATATAGAGCTTGGGCAATCGTTGGCGCCTGCATTGCCGCTCGTCTGCGGTTCCTCATCGCGCCTCTCGAGTCGTTCTCTCTTGACAAGAGCATGCAAACACTGCGCGGCGCATTATGCATTTAAATGATTACAGTATTACGATTCAAATCTACATTCGGGGCAGTGTGAAGTTATATTCATATTCTTAGGTTTTTTCGGTAAAGTCACGTAGGTAAAAAATCTAAATTAATAAAAGTTATGTAGACTAGACGTAGTCTCAAGCCGCACCTTACCATCCCCCTCCCCTAAACCAGTATATATACGGGGTAGTATCCCTTGGAATCTCTCATTTATTTGATTACAGCAAGCGTGCTGTGACGGTTCCACCTGAAGACGGAAGCTTGTGTTGCCTCCGAAACGTCGTGATTTTTATTTTATTTTTATTTTCACTTTTATTAATTTTGATTTTTTACCTACGTGACTTTACCGAAAAAAACCTAAGAATATGAATACTTGCAGTCACGAAAGCTTCAAATCTAGAATGAAGTTATATTCTCCGGCGTCGGCATTCGTCGCCGCAGTCGCACACAGGCGACCCACTTACTTGTGCAGCTCGCACGCGTCCGGGCACGAGGGACAGTGCTCGCACTTGGGCCCCTGGTACTTGGGGTCGGTGCAGGTGCACGTGCCGCAGGTGCAGTTGCCGCGGCCCGAGCACATCTCGCCGTTGCGGCCGATGCAGGAGCGCGCGTCCAACGAGCAGTCGCAGCTGCTGCCCGTGAAGTTGCTGAAGCACTCGCACTTGCCGCACTCGCAGCGTCCGTTACCTTGGGAGGGGGGGCCGGCGGAGGAATGGTGGGGTGGTGTGGGGGAAGGGGGGAGGCAGAGGGGGTGCGGAGGGGGGTAAGTTGGGATCAGGATGATAACGCGAGAGATAATGTATGAAAGGTCAGGGGGGGAAGGGGACATGAATGTAAAACTAAACTATAAAACCTTTTATTTTTTATTTTACCAGGTAAGGCCCACTGAGCTACGAAGCTATTTTTGAGAAGCAACCTGGCTATCACAAATGATAGCTCAACGAATGTTGATTCTAAATGCGGACAGGACTCGGAGAAAATCCACACAACCACGGAGAGAGACACGCAAACTCTAAATATATAGCAGCAGGGTCGGGATCGGGATCGAACCCATGACCTCCTGCGTACGAGGCGAAGTAGTTCACATCTCACCACTGCGGGGGATGGAGAGAGAGGAGCAGTGGCAGGGGGGCTGCACAACTTCGTATGGAGGTTTAGGGTTAAGGTCAGGCCAATAATTTGAGCCTAACGTCGGTCTTAGGCGATATAATCTCAGTGGATCCTTACTTAGCTGGTAAAAATAGTGTAGGGATGTTGGAGAGAGGGCCGTTATGCATGGCAGCCTATGGGAAAGAAACACAGTGGGCGGGGCTACGTGTGTGCACAGGGAGATGCCCTCTGCGACGTCCGAGCCAGACACCCTGGGGGGGGGCTGGTTCGGCGTTACGATCCCCCGGGGCCCCACCCCTCAAGGAGGGTTGGGTATAAAAAGGGGTCGTTATATGGGCTTAGTCAGTTATGTTATAGTTAAGCTAAGAAGTCGGAAGACGTCGTAGCTAGAGCCCTGGACTCCCCCTGATCGCCGCCCTTATCAGGGCCCCACGGGATCAGGCTCGAGCCAGTGGCGTGGTCCCGTGAACCAGAGCCAGTGCTCTGGGACTCCGGGTACCGAGCCCGATTACCAGTGTCGGGCCAGACAGCCTCCCCTAGCTCTTAGTGGAGGACTCAGGGGATAGGCTATGGATAGCTAGGGGTATTCCCTGAGTTATACGGGTGAGGGGGCCGCTACCCCCTCTAGGGCTGTCCTGTACTGGCAACTTGTTAAATAAATATACGTGTGCCTCAACTCCGTTGTCAAGCGTCCTCGACGGGTACTTCATCTGGCGTCAGAAGTGGTAAAAATGGAAACGCGCCATACAGCTCGGACCAGGGTACCACAAGAGGAGGACGCCGCGGAGATCGCCGAGCCCGAGACAGAGCAACAAGATGGGGTGCAGCCGGAGCCTGGCGCCTTCTCACCGGGACGTCAGCATGGAGAGGGGCCGCAGCCAGATGCACTACGACTGGCTCACGAACGGCTGGCGGAGCTACTTTATGCCGCTGCCGCCACACTGGAAGGCATTACGCGGTTGGGGGCTGGTGGTCCACCGCAGGGCGAGGAGAACCGGCGGCCGGAGCACTTTCCCGCCATTTCAGCGACTTCACAATTTGAATTTCCCGCCATGGACGCCGCGGCTGTTCGGGGCGTGGCCAGCTTAGACATCGGCTCCGACATCGCCGTCGCCGGGGCTGCAGCGTCATCGCAGCCGAAGGATGCGTCATCGCTGCCGCGACAGGCGATGCCATCGGCCAGTCGCGCCGAGGCACCGCCAAAGGGAGGTGAAAGCAACCTGCGGGAGTCCACATCGACCGCTGCGCTTCACCAAAGGCTGCCCCCGCTGAAGGAATTCATCGGTGCGGAGGGTGACTGGGGCGGCTTCCGGCGACGCTTCCTCGCCCATCAGGAGATGGCGCGGTGGTCCGACGAGGAGGCCCTTTGCGCGCTGCCGGCGCTCCTCGATGGGGACGCGCTCGCCGCACTCACGTCGGCGCCAAAAGAGAAGCGGGCTACACTACCAATGGCGCTACAGCTGCTGGCCGGGGTCTATGGACCTTCAGCCGAATGCCGTCAGCAGTTCTACGATCGCAGGCGGGGTGAAAAAGAGTCGCCTCTGGCTTTCCGGACAAGTCTTCTGGCGCTGGCAAAAACAGCCTTTCCCCGCATGGACGACGACGGCGTGGACGCAATGGTCGCGGAGAAGATCCTCCTCTTGGCGGACGACCTCGACATCGTCGTCATCGCACAAGGGGATGCAGAAATGACCTCCCTCCAGGCTGCGCGACTCCTCCACGCCAACCTTCTGCAGCAGCGGCGAAAGGCAAACAGGGCATCGGCTGGGCGTGCGGTGGCTGCAGCCACCCTTCCGTCAGAAGAACTTTATGCCGTCGACCATCGACGGCAACAGACGACGGGGGCGCGGCCGGGTCGGGACGGGCCGAGGCGTTTCAACCGTCCATCGTCTCCATCGGCGCTCCCGCGGTGCTTCAACTGCGGCATCCGGGGCCATGTCGCCTCGGGGTGCCGTTCTCCTCGACAGCGGGGGACGACGCCTCGACAGGACGCCGGCCCTCCTCTTCCTCCTCCCAAGCTCCAGCACCATGATCCGGCGAGTCGCGGCACCTCACATGTTTGGCCAACGCACCCACCTGTCGCACACTCTCGCACCGTAACGAACGGGGGGCCGGTGGGGCGCTGCGATGGACCGGCGCGGATCACTGCGGGGACTCAAATCGAGCCCGAGCGGTGGTCCGTGTTGGCCCATCGCGTGGTGGCCGCGGCGTCGGGATCGTCGGCCGTGGTCGGTTACATTGATGGGGTGGAGGTACGCATCATAGTCGATACAGGGGCATCGGCGACAATTATTTCGGAACTAATTTACAATATTCTACCGGTGCAGAGCCGTCCTTTGCTACCGGTTAATGTCCCTTTCTATGCCGCTAACGGGGGCTCTCTCGGCATCGTGGGACAGATTCGAGCGCAAATTTCTATCGGGGACATCAAATTGTCGGGGCCGATTTTTGTCTCCTCCTCACTGGCAGTTCCGTGCCTGCTGGGGACGGACTTCTTGGGCAGGATGCCAATTCGTATTTTGATCGACCAAGGATGCATTGAGCTTCCGTCGGGGCGACGTATGGCGTTCCTGCCTTCCCCTGTAGCGACTCGGACGGCGTTCGCGACGGTACCGGCGTTCGTCGTAAAAACAGTGCGTGTGCCGCCGGGGGCACAAATGCTGGTACCTCTTAAACTTCGTAGGCCCTTCGCTAAGGGTGTTGGGGATCAGGGTGTTGTGCTGGGGCCGTCTAGGGCCGGGGTTAATGGGCCTCATTTAATTCCGGCCCAGACCATCGTAAGGGGGGACGAGGATCCCTTCATCGCGGTCCTCAATGTCGGGTCGCAGACAGTAGTGGTTCCCCAAGGGACTGTGCTCGCTCACGCGACGCCGGTGCCCTGCGAGGAACCTGCCGTGAACCACATTGACACTGCTGCTCGGACGCACCCGCATTCGGACGGCGATGAAGGGTGGCTCGACGCGCTTTGTGCGGGATCGACGAACCTGTCCAATTTAGAGCGCCAACGGCTTAGATCGCTGCTAAAGGAATTTTCCGACGTTTTCAGTCGGAATAAATACGATTTGGGTTGTACTCACCTGCTGCGTCACCATATTGACACGGGTGACAGCGCGCCTATTCGCCAAAATCCTTTTCGGTTGAGTCCCGCCGAAAAGGACCATGTCAAATCAGCTGTCGATGACATGTTAGCCGCCGACATTATCTCTCCCTCTACCAGCCCTTGGGGAGCACCGATTGTCCTGGTTAAGAAACAGGATGGCTCGTTGCGGTTTTGCGTAGATTTCCGTCGCCTTAATAAGGTTTCGGTTGCCGACGCATACCCGCTCCCACGGATGGACGAATCGCTGGACGCCTTGGCGGGAGCGCGATTCTTCTCCACACTAGATTTACTTTTGGGATTCTGGCAGCTTCCTCTGGACGATGATTCGAAGCCTAAAACCGCTTTCCGTACACCGCACGGCCTGTTCCAATTCAACCGGTTGCCGATGGGCTTACACTCAGCGCCGGCAACCTTCCAGCGGTTGATGGAATTGGTTTTGGCTGGATTGCAATGGGAATCGTGCCTGATTTATTTGGATGACGTAATTGTTTTTGGAAGAACCTTTGACGAACATCTCCAGAGGCTGCGGGCGGTTTTCCAAAGGATGCGGGCTGCTAATTTGAAATTTAAGCCCCAAAAATGCTATTTGTTTCGCGAGTCAGTGCATTATTTGGGGCACATCGTGGGGCGCTCGGGTATTGCTACCGATCCCGCCAAAACGCAGTGTGTCAGCTCCTGGCCAATTCCGACCTCGGTGGGGGAGGTGAGGCGTTTTATTGGCTTCGCTTCATATTACCGACGGTTCGTCGCTAATTTTGCTACAATTGCCAAACCCCTACATGCTTTGACATCAAAAGGGGTTCGGTTCCACTGGGGTCGGGATGAGGAAGTAGCTTTCTGCTCCCTTCGGGATGCATTGGTGAAGGCTCCTCCTTTGACTTACCCCGATTTTTCGAGGCCGTTTTTGCTCGACACCGCTGCGAGCAACACAGGTATCGGAGGCGTGCTTTCCCAGGTGGTTGATGGCGTGGAACGGGTGGTTGCGTACGGCAGTCGGGTGTTGTCTCCAGCGGAGCAAAAATATTGTGTCACCCGTAGAGAACTGTTGGCAATTGTTTTCTTCATCCAACAGTACCGCCCATATCTGTACGGTCAGCATTTCACTGTCCGTACGGATCATGCGGCACTGCAGTACGCCCTGAAGGTTCAACAGCCATCGGGACAATTGTCCCGATGGCTGGAGGTCCTCCAGGATTTCGATTTTGACACCACCTATCGTAAGGGCATTCGCCACACAAATGCGGACGCTCTGTCGCGCATGCCAACCACCTCCGAATGCGCATGCCTCCTGGGGTCGGGGCGTTGCAAGCCAGCTGGGGACATGACGGTTCCAGTCCTGGCGGCCGCCGCCGATGTTGACACATCGCTCCCCGATGAGATCGGGAAACAGGGAAGGGATTCCCTGCTTGGGTTGCCTGTGATTGAGTGGGGACGCCTCCAGATGGAGGACGCCTCCCTCCTCGCGCTGCGTCGTCGCGCCAGGGAGAGGGGGTGTGGGACGGGTGATGCCGACAATTGGGAAATACACGCGGGCTTGCTCATGCATTGGGACGGTAAATCCCACCGTCACCGGCTGGTAGTTCCTGCGGGGTTACGGGGTAAGGTGGTGTGGGCTGCTCATGAGCGCCTCCTCCACCTGGGTACCCAAAAGACCCTCGCCTCGCTCCAGCTGGATTTTTTTTGGCCGGGCATGACACGGGATGTCACGGATCTCCTGGCAGCATGCCCCCGGTGTGCGCAACGCAAACCACCAGCTCGGGAGTCGAACCCGCCGTTGCAGTCCATCACAGTCTCCAGGGTGAACGAACTCGTAGCGTTGGATATCCTGGGGCCGTTTCCCGCCACCCCTAGGGGCAATAGATATTTGCTAACAGGGGTCGAATACTTCACACGCTGGCCTATGGCCTGGCCCCTGGCAAATCAGTCGGCAGCAGCCATCGTGGACGCCTTTGTCCAAGGCTACGTCATGGACAAAGGTGCTCCGGAGCGGCTGCTGACCGACCAGGGTAAAAATTTTTCCGGGAACCTCCTCAAACAAGTCTGTGATCTCCTAGGTACAAAGAAGATTCGTACCTCTCCCTATCACCCACAAACTGACGGGATGGTCGAGCGTCTGCATCGTACCATCACGTCTATGTTGTCGCACCTGGTTTCGGAGTCACAGACCAATTGGGACTTGCAAATTCAAGGGGTCCTGGCAGCATATCGATTGGCCCCCCATGCTGCCACGGGATTTTCACCCTTCTTTCTCATGTATGGTCGCGAACATGACCCACCTGTTCGGGCACAGCTGCAGATCCCCGCGCCTCTAGGTAAAATTAAATTGGACGAGCACGTTAAATTTAACCTTCAAAAGCTAACTGAGGCGCGGGATGCTGCCATGCTCAATTCCCGCATGCGCCAAAAGGCGAATGAGCGCCTCAGACTCGCGCGCGCGCACGTGCTGCAGTGGAAGCCAGGGGACAGGGCATGGCTGCACTGTCCCCAGGTACCGCTTGCGACCTCCTCGAAACTGGTACGGCCATGGCGGGGCCCCGTCGAGGTGGTCGAGGTTTTGCAACCGCAGTGCGTTCGTATCAAGTGGGGGAGGCGCCGGTGGTTCGTTCACCCCTCTAGACTAAAACCCTTCGTTGCGGTGCGGGACTCTGCTCCACACGCGCAGGGCCAAGCATGTGAGGGGTCGACCGACCCGGAGGGTCCGCCTCTGTTGATCTCACCTGACGTCTTGCCGGTTGCCCCGCCCCCAGGTTCTCCCGGAATGACGGGCTCGCGCACATCCCTCACGGGGGATGCCGAGGGTCCCGCCACTCCAATTGCGGACTCGCCTCGGATGGGACAGCGGCCACCGAATGGTCCGCCATCTGAGGTTGGCCCTTGTGACGGGCCTGCGGCAAGGACGCGCGCTAAAATGCGCAGACTCTTATAAAAACACTGGAACGCGAACAAGAAGTGAAAACGAAACGAAAATAAGAAGAAAATTTTTTTTATTTTTTTTTGCGTTTTCTGGTACACTTTCGTGTGCTATTGTTACTGGACGCTGCGTTCGTGTGGCGCTCTTGGCGCGTTGTTGTATTATGGCTGTGTGTGTGTGTGCGTCTTGTGTGCGTGTTGTGCGTGCGCTGAGGGTTCCGGGAAATGTACATATCTTGCCTCTACGGATTTCGTATTTATTCGGGGGGGGGGGTGCGTCGGTTTGTTCTCCCTTTAGGGGCATTGTTAGTGTTGTTGTTCAATTCTCGTTCTGTTAAATGAAAAAAATGGGGCACACACGGGGGGAGTCAAGGGGTAAAGATTCATTTGTTGAAATTGTTGCAGCCGGGACGGCTGCGAGCTATGCGGGGGGGAGTGATGTAGGGATGTTGGAGAGAGGGCCGTTATGCATGGCAGCCTATGGGAAAGAAACACAGTGGGCGGGGCTACGTGTGTGCACAGGGAGATGCCCTCTGCGACGTCCGAGCCAGACACCCTGGGGGGGGGCTGGTTCGGCGTTACGATCCCCCGGGGCCCCACCCCTCAAGGAGGGTTGGGTATAAAAAGGGGTCGTTATATGGGCTTAGTCAGTTATGTTATAGTTAAGCTAAGAAGTCGGAAGACGTCGTAGCTAGAGCCCTGGACTCCCCCTGATCGCCGCCCTTATCAGGGCCCCACGGGATCAGGCTCGAGCCAGTGGCGTGGTCCCGTGAACCAGAGCCAGTGCTCTGGGACTCCGGGTACCGAGCCCGATTACCAGTGTCGGGCCAGACAGCCTCCCCTAGCTCTTAGTGGAGGACTCAGGGGATAGGCTATGGATAGCTAGGGGTATTCCCTGAGTTATACGGGTGAGGGGGCCGCTACCCCCTCTAGGGCTGTCCTGTACTGGCAACTTGTTAAATAAATATACGTGTGCCTCAACTCCGTTGTCAAGCGTCCTCGACGGGTACTTCAATAGTTTATCGTTTATATCCCCCCACCTCCACAGATGAGTCCGTTGTGTCGGTCGCAGGAGAAGTTGTCGCACTCGCAGTGCTTGCCGGACACGAGCTCGGGGCTCTCGCGCTTGTAGCAGATGCACTCGCCGCACACGCAGTCGCCTCGCCCGCTGCACACGACGCTCGACGAGTTGTCGCGCTTGCACGACGCTTCGATGTCCTCCGAGTTCACCTCGTCGGTGCCGCACTCGCACAGGCGCCCCACCCGACCCTCGTTGCACCTTCGCCACGGGCACGCGGGGGCGACGGGGTCAACGTCGTCGTCGTCATCAACGTCGTCAACATTTTCGTCATCAACGTCGTGGTCAACGTTGTGATCGACGTCAATGTTGTTAATGTCGCCGTCAACGTCGTCAACGTCTTCGCCGTTGTCACGCCAATACGATCATTATTGTGGTCCTCGTCGTCATCATCATCGTCGTCGTCATCAACATTACCGTTATCCATCGTCATGGTCATCCTGGTTGCTACTCGCACCGTCATCGTCATCACTGCAATCATCATCATAATTGTAGGCATCATCATTATGACCGCCACCGTAGTTGTCGTCATCGTTGATATTGTGGTTGTCATTGTCACCGTGACAAAAAAAACATCATTATCAGTGTAGTTGTTCTGACTAGATCATTGTTGATCTCATTAGCCCACTTGTCTTCAGGCTCAAACCGAGGGCGTCAGCGATGCTGAATGGGCGATGGGGGGGATGGGGGGGGGACAAATTAAAGAGTTCATTGCTAACTGCCCTGCCATCTGCTGTCCACCTCACAACCCAGGTAAGGCCCACCCAAAGAAACCTGGCTTTAAATTTCGATTTAAAGATTTTCTGCCTGCAGGGATTCATCTTCTTGGTTCTTTCGGTAAAGTCACGTAGAAGGGAAATAATAAAATAATAAAAATAAAACATAATAAAATAATTCTCACGACGTTTCGGCCACAATGCAAGCAGCCGTCCTCGGGTGAAGAACAGGTCTGCCGGGAAGTATTTTTTTATTTCCCTTCTCCGTGACTTTACCGAAAGAACCAAGAATATGAAAACCTGGCTATCACAAATGATAGCTCTACGAAGTGGCTTATCATCACGTGAACATTTATAGCAGCCAAGTAATATAAGGGCATGCTTCTAAATGTGGAGGGAAAAACCGGAGGACCCGGAAAAAATCCGTATGACCACAGAGAGAGAGAGAGAGAAAACATGCAAACTCCAAATATACAGCCGTCGGGGTTGGGATCGAACCCACGACCTCCTGTATACCTAGAGAGGGAGTTAATATCTACGAACACTAGGGAAATTCATCTCGTCGCTCGGCGCCGTGCGTTCGGTTTGCAGTGATGCTAACGCGCGCTGTCGCACCAAGGCGAATTGGCAGGTGGCCAGAGAGGGAAACTTTTTGGCAGGCGGAGTTAGAATCTTTTGGAAACGATGAACGTTATTCAGCTGTAACGACATTACAAGGGATGGAGATGTATTCAAGAATCGACTGCGGTGCTGCTGCCATCTCTTGGCCACCTCGCAGCCCGAGCACTACAACACCCGACCCCGAGCCCAGGGGTCAAATCTATCCCCTTCAAATCAAATCATTTTTACATGGGTGTTCGCGCCATTCTTAAGAGTGCAAGGCTATCACGAAAGGCGCTCTTTCACGGATGAGTAGAAACTGCAGCAGGTTTACAGGAGGGGACAACGTTGCTGCGTAGCTTCAGGAAATTATGTAAGTCGAGAGTAATTTTCAAACTACATTCTACGCATCTTACGCGTTATCGCGGACTGTGCTTTACCCCCTATATTTGATATTATTTATCATCACGTGGTGTTCTTCAGGAACGAAACCACCGCGTTTTTTAGAACAGACTGGAAGCAACTTTTGACCGTGACGCCGGCACACATGGCCCTGCTCCTTTTGCAAATAACGTCACGGGGGGGGGGGGGGGGGTCCTTTAATGTCCACCACAAAGCAGACGGAGCGTGGGCATTCCAATATTTTGACACACCACGAGACTAATTATAACCAGGGCGGCCCTGCAGGGCTCAAAATCCGCGAACCTCTTGCCGCGGAGTGACCGACGCGCCACCCCGTCACCGCCACCGCGGGGGGGGGGGCGGCCGTCGCCGCCACCACCACCACCGCCGGCATCCGCCGACCTCGGCGCGTTGGCGGGAGAACCCGGGCGACGTGGGGGACGCCGGTACCTGCACGCGCCGCACTCCATCGTGCCGTTGCCGAAGTGGCACTCCATGGAGTTGCTGACGCCGGAGGTGTGGCACTGGCACTCGCACTCGAAGCGCAGCCGCACCGTCACCTTCTCCTGGAAGCCCAGCGGCCGGATCTCCACCTCGTGCGCCTTGCCGTTGTTGGGGCACTTTGTGGCGACCACCTCGATCGTGAACTGGACCTGCGCCCCCGTTCGATGCAAGCGCGTGCTCGTTAAAATAAACAAAACATTCAACTATTTCTCCCGAGTTACATCGCGAGCGCGCCGTTGCCTTATGAAAAAAATCACGAGAGGCGGACGACTTCCTTCGTGTAAACATCGTGATTTTTTATATTTTTTAGTCGATTGATCAAGTGACTCGTCTCGTCGTCCCGTGGGCCACGCGCGGCCCTCGCGCCCGTACCTCGTCGCCGATCTGGATGTCGGAGCACTTGCGGCCCTGCTCCCCGCGGAACACCTTGTTGTCCTTGCAGACGGCGGTGTAGCGGAACTGCAGGCCCTCGGGCACCTTGCTGTTCTCCAGAATAATCTCCGACGACAGTGCCTGCACGCCAGCGCCGCCACCGCATTGCCCGTGAGCCGCCACCCACGCACGTGCACCAGCGTCGCGGGGCACGCAGATTTCCGCCCCGAGCCGTGTGCGATTATCGTTTTGATCCCCACCAGAATTCTAACCCCCCCCCCCCACCCCCGTTGACCAACAGTGACCTTTCTGGATTCTCTGTAAATTCTAATTCCTAGAATCAATCGCCACAGAATTCTGCGGGGATCGATATTTGGAAGCCACTGGAGCACTGTGCACTTTTAAATCTAAATTGAAAACTCATTTATTTAGAACTGCTTTTTGTGTTTATTTTCTTGTCCCCCACCCACCTCCGATTAGCACGGTTGGCTACGTACGGTGCAAAATTGTGACCCCGGGTCAGAATAGAATCCTATTATTATTATCATTTCAAACTCCCCCCACCCAATGGTAGTTTGACCCCCGGCCTAATTCCAACCACAGTGATTAGAAACGTAACCCTCATCCTGAATCTTACACAAATTATACTGGGGGTATCCGACAAGCTATAAACCTCTTTTTCACAGATGTCCAGCTTGCGCTGTTTGTCAGTTTTTCTTTTTCCGTGCTCTTTCAAAGTTTGTTTTTCTCCGTAAGCATAATCATAACACACCGCCTGTATAACATCGGCTTGTCGACTCGCGCCCGTCAGGATCGACCGCTCACACGTTTTAAAGACGAGAGGGTGGTTCACTCACATCGTAGGCGTCGATGATGAGCTGGATGACGTTGCTGGAATTCGAAGAGAGAACTCCGACGGCCGATTTTGGGATCAAGTTGCTGAGTTCCTGAAGCAAATCGCGCAGCAAGGTAAAAAAAAAGGACACGTTCATTTAATTTTTTTTACTCCACACCAATACCTCGCAGATAAACCTTGGCAGATACGATGACACGTTGTGCCATCACAAGGGTGTGGACTAATTGTGAGGTATCAAATGAGCAAAAGTATTTTTGTTTAATTGGCAAACTGCAATTATAACTAACGGCCCTCATTGCTGAATGGGGACTCGGGGGTCAAAACGATGAAAGGAAGAAATCCAACGACGGCGGGTCTGTAGCCCTTTCGGAAAACTGAATTTAATCATGAAAATCAACAAAGCAATGTGCTTGAAGGAGAAAAAAGTTTTCCATCAGTGCACAACAAAACCTGCTATGACTTGGATCTGGAATATGATGAAGCGGTGGTCGAGACTCATGAGAGGAGTGGCAGCCAAAGGAGGGAACATGCCCAACAGGACTTCTACCGTGGACATGGAGCAATGAAACCAGCCCATGTGCGAGTGCTAGACGGATTGTTGTAGCACAGGGTCATGAGGAATAGTAGCGATGGCTTCGTGGAACCATCATCCAGGAGCGGATCATGGCTGATGATGACGATGATGATTCAAACTGTAACGTCACTAACAGTGCCGGATTAAGCTAGTGCAGGGCCTGTAGCAGATGTTATAAAGGGGCCCTAAATATAAAAAAACACAAATATTAAACCAAATACATTTTTAACTTGCACAGTATAGCAATTTTATTTTTTAATTTGATATACAGCCACAGATAATACGACAAATCGCTAACCGTAAACACCCATACTCTTAGGTTTTTTCGGTAAAGTCACGTAGGTAAAAATAAACACCCAGTTGTTCATAAAATTCTAGATTTGAAGCTTTCGTGACTGCAAGGATTCATACTCTTAGTTCTTTCGGTAAAGTCACGTAGGTAAAAAATGAAATTTTAATTAATAAAAATAAAATAAAAATCACGACGTTTCGGAGGCAACACAAGTCTCCGTCATCAGGTGGGACCGTCACAGCCAGATGCAGATTTGCTGCTGATGCTGATGCAGCAAATCTGGCTGTGACGGTCCCACCTGATGACGGAGACTTGCGTTGTTCATAAAAGTTGAAGGCAGTATAGTACTATAGTAAGAGCAAGTGCAGAATCACTGAACCGGAATTGATAGCTTGAAAGCGTTTAGCGTGGGGCCCTTGAAAGTGCAGGGCCCGTAGAATATGCTACTGTTGCTATTCTTTGGGTCTTTCGGTAAAGCCACGTTGCTACTACGATAATCCGGCACTGGTCACTAAGCTGACCAAACCCAGACGTTTACTTTTAATAAAGCAGATCCGTTCGCGCTGTCACACGGAAAAAATATTCTTCGTTACCTTGTAGACGTTATAGAACTCTTCCGTGACGGCGAAGATGGGCTGGATGCTGTTCTCCCCGAGTTTCTGCACCAGTTGCGCGACTGACGGGTAGTCCTGTAGGCACACACGGGTCCGCACGAGAGGTCACGGATAATTCCCACGGCTTTATCTCCATTTCCTCATCAGTGCTCTGCCCGGCGTGGTTGTCATCCTCCGACTGCTCCTAAATGGTGGCAATCGCCGCCAATCGAAGTCGGACTCGCCTCTTTAGGTGAAGCCACCCATTGGCCACTTGCTTCATCACAGCGACACCGGCTGTGGTCCGACATTCCGCCCCGCAACTTTCTCCCACAAGTTTCTCGTCGGCCGGCGGAATGGGCCCCGTTGACAGGAGGTACATTTAAAGGTAAAGGCGCAGCCCTGCAAAGGCTCGCTCACGCCACTGCTGCTGGAAGGGAGCTGTTGCGAGATGCCCCGTCTGCCTCACGTTAGCCGTACCATAGCACTGTCCAGCGCGAAGATGGTTGTGTAAAAAAATTAACCCGTAAAAACAAAGTTTTTCACTATAAATCCTTTATATGCGTGGCATCGGTTTTATTTTATTATTCATTTCTGTTTTTCTTGAGTAAGAGTTTCATTTTTATCACATTGGTATTTTAAATTAAATATGACATTTTTTTCCCCTAAAAAGTGCTAAATTTTGGAGAAAAAAAATTCACAAAAATAAATTGTCACGCACAACGAGTCTGTGTGGAAAATGTCAGCTCGATTGGATCACGGGAAGTGGGTTAAAAAACGACCGAAAGATTTGCACGGTCCTAAGCGCGCAAGCAAGTGAACTTAATATAAAGGATTTAAAAAGCCCCGGCACGGTGAGGTCAACACCTGGGTGACCGGTGGTGGCTGGGGTCACTGATGAGATAACGGTCGATTGCTGTCCATGATGATGGGCGGCTGCCATGGTTGTAACGGTCAGCACGCTGGACTTGCGATCGAGAGGTCCAATACATCTCCCAGCTTGTTGATACAATGGGGCACGTTTCCCAAATCTCCCTCCCCCGTTGCCTCTGCCCACCCAGCAGCATGAATGGGCACACCGCAGGCCGCTATTCGGCAGGTCACGTGTGGTGGGTTAGAGTGTGGGTACTGGCACCTCGATGTGGTTGTGATATTAGCCCCTCTCGACCTCTAGCGTGCCCTCCAATTGACTGTACACCTTTCACTGTCATGAAAATTGGGAAATATTAAGAAATGTAACGATTGAGCACTTTTAAAATTACAGAAAATTTTTTCCATGAGCTCATATTATTATTGTTGTTATGCTTGTTTACCCAGTAAAGCATCTTCTCTTTGGTTCTTTCGGTAAAGTCACGTAGATGGAAAAATAATAATACAAATAAAGTGAATGCAAATAATAAAAAGCACAAATGTAGACTGTAGCCTGGTTCTTAATCGGAGTGAGTGTACTGGCAGTCTATAATGTAGACTGTAGCAATGGTTATTAAGCTGGGTGAATGTACTGGCAGTCTATAATGTCGACTGTAGCCTGGTTCTAAACCTCGGTGAGCGTACTGTCAGTCTATAGTAATACAAACAAATTGCCGAGAGAACCAAGAATAAATCGACATTATAGACTGCCAGAACACTCACCAAACTTAATTACCAGGCTACAGTCCCCACGAGTGTTTTTTTGTTTAATCTTTTTATTTTATTTTAATTATTTATCTTTTTATTCACTTTATGTATTATTATTTTTCTATCTACGTGACTTTACCGAAAGAACCAAAGAATATGAATTCCTGCAGTCACGAAAGTTTCAAGTCAAAATTTACCCAGTAAACCCTCAATGAATCTCAAGACCTTTTCAGGAGCGTCCTGCCAATGTTTTCACAGTAGGGGGCGATGCTGCTGCCGTGAGTCACCCCAATTGAGTAGTTTGCAATGTAATAGCTCAGCATTGTGGATGTTTGGCCAATACTTACCAGTTGCATTGTACGATTTTCTTAGCTATCGGAAGAAACAGGAGAACCCAGAGGAAACCCATGCGGAACAGGCGGAGACCGCATGAACGCCGCACAGAAACGGTGCCCGCGTCGCAAATTGAACCCCCCGCAGATCAACCTTGCCGCGAGGAACATTCGCCAGACAAGAGAACACGGACGAGCGGGACCTTATCTTGTCAAAACTCACCTTATAAATCCTTTACCGAGGCGCTTCACAGCAATTATAAAATCGTACACGGGACGATAACGAATTCGAATGAAGCATTGGGTTATTGCAAGTGGTCGTGTAGTTTTGATGACCGCAGAACTACGGGAGATTGATACGGAGAGGGGGGGCGGTTGGGATAGGCCTGGTTGTAGCTGGAGGGGGGTGACAAATCTACGAGGCGCCGTGCGACTCACGTAGAAGTCGCTCTGCGTGTACATCCCCTTCCCGTCCAGGTGGCAGCGCCCGTCGTTGGGCAGCACGATGCCGCCCAGCTTCCCGTCGCCCGCAAAGTGGAAGCCGGCGTCCGTGGAGAACACGAGCAGACGCGTGTTGTTGCGCCAGCCGATCTTGTTCTGGGGGACACGGGGGAGGCGAGTGGTGGGGGGGCGGTGAGGGGTGGGGGGTGGTGAGGGTCGGGGCGACGAGGGAGCTGGCGCAGCGATAGCGACCGTCACCCTGGGTGGTGCCACCACGCAAGCTGTCGCGCTTGCGCCGCCGTGCAGCTCTCCGACGCGTTTCTGGGTCGAGCCGCTGAGCGTCGTTGGCGAACGGCGTCCGGCAATTTGCTCCGCACAGCGACCGGCTTGCTGGGAGCTTCACGAGAAACTAAATTATATTCAGGCCCAGGGCCGGTTCAGATAATCGTCACTGGTGTTGGTGACCGTGAGCGGGAATTGAACTCGGGTCGCCGGGTTTGTAGAGCAGCACGCGAACCGCCGCGCTACCGGCTCCCCACAGGCAAAGGTCCCCCCCGTATAGCCTTTAACAGACTGTTGGGGAAAGTGTTGTTAGAGAGCACCTATGAAGGTCGGCACGGCACACGAGGGGGTGGGTTCCCAGCGCCGCGCCCGGCCGCCTTTGTCTCCCTCGTGGCGATGTTTACACACCGCACCAGGTATTCATTCAAGACCGAGTCGACCTAGCGGAAGCCCAGGACCAGTTCAGATAAACGTCACTGGTGTTGTTCATGAGCAGTGTGCTAGCCGCTCCCCAAAGACGCACGCACGCTCGCACACTCGCACACTCACCCCGCACACGGCTGCCTGCATCATTGCGTCGAAGCCACCTTCGGGAGAGTCCAAGTTCCCGGAGATCTTCTGGCGACTCACGAGCGAGTTGAATTTATTTCCTTCCGAGGTGAGAGACAGCACGTTCTTGTAGCTGAACGGGCTGGTGCACACCTGGTACGGGCAGTGGGGACAGGGATGGGGGGAAAGGGGGGGGGGGACAGGGAGCTGTTGAGCGGCGACGGTACCTTAGGGTCATCGTTACGATCAGCCATTGTCTATACGCTGCAGGACGAAGGCCTTCCCATACTGTTGTCCAGTGATCTTTCTGGTCATCTCACTCCGACATAAGAACTGATATCGTGCCACTCAATCTCTCTCCACGGCGGTCGTACCCTTGGAGGTCTTCCCTTCTGTGGCTGCCATTCCCTCACCAGTCTTGTCCATTGGCCATTATCGAAACTAAACAATTTTTTTAGTTTACCCGGGAAGGCCCACTGAGCTATGTAGCTCTTTTTCAGAAGTGACCTGGCCATAGATGATAGGTCAGCAAAGTGGTTTATCATGTGGGCATCTAGAGCAGCAAAATACTCGGAAGGCATGTTTCTAAATGTGGAGGGATAAATAGGAGGACTCGGGGAAATATCCACGCGGCCACGGGGAGAACGTGCAAACTCCAAATATACAGGCGTCATGGTCGGGATCGAAGCCACGATCTCCTGCATACCAGGCGAGGTGGTTAACATCTCGCCACTGTGGCGTCTCACTTCGTGGCGTGCCCTGCTCGACCCCATTCACTTTCCCCGATTGTCAATATGAGCGGTGCCACTGGCAGAAGATGGATAGCTGTGGATAAGCCGTTTCCCAGTGTGCAGTTGAGTACGGGAAAGACTTCCAAGGTACAGCGATATTACATTTCCGCACCTCTGATTAGCACGGTTGGCTACGTACGGTGCGAAAGAAGTTCAACATCCACGCATACTTATTTTACTTGTATTACTGGAATAAACTCCCTGTTAAGACGTACACAAGTAACGGAAATATAAATATATTTTTTAAGCGATTACGTACAAACGTACCTGCTTTTCGTCATTGTTACCGCACGGGTTCTGCAGTTTCTTGGGAGTGGTGCTGATGTAGGGCATCACCGTCTTATCCACAAACGATCCAAAGCCTGCGCGCGGAAATTCGACGCAGAGGCAACGTCAAGAGCTCGCCGAGCAACGCCCCACACAGTGAAACTTCGACACGAGTTGGAGTGGGATGCTGCTGCTGCTGCTGCTGGTCAGCACACTGGACTTGTAATCCAGAGGCCACCGGTTCTATTCAAAACTCCCAGAGTGCAGCAGCTGAAACAAGGGGCGAGTTTCTTAAATCCCTCCGCCTCTGTCTAATCGACAGAATACAGAGGCACACCACAGTAAGGCCATCTGTAAGTTGGACTTACACTGATGTACCGCTCTTCTCTATAATTTTACAGCACTTCGGTAATTTTAACCAGTGGAAATTGAGCCTTTGAATTTGCACGTATGTTGAATTCTTTCGCACCGTACGTAGCCAACCACGCTCATCGGAGGTGCAAATTTGTGCAAACTGCACAAGTGGACAGTGTGCTGACCACAGGATACTGCCACGCACACTCCCCAATGCGTCATTACACCTCGTCGTTCAGATCCAGAGGTAATCACGGCCAATGCCGTTGATGCCACCGCACCTCGTAAGCGCTTTCCATCCCTCTGCCACACACGACCTCCAAGATGCGTGTACAGCATTCCCTCGTTATTCACGGACTTGCTACCCGCGATTCTGGCTATCCGCGAATCGCATGCGGAACTCAACAGGACTGCGTCGAGACAGAAAGTGATGAGATAAAGTGATGAGAGAGAATGTGATGCGAGAAAGCGATTTGTTAAAGTGATGTGATAATTTGCATATATTTAATTGCTTATTTACGTATTTAAAGCAATTGATTAAAAATATAGGTTACCGTCGGCCAAAATCATTATCCGCGAAATTAGCTGTTCGCGAATATCTCCGGAACGTATCCCTCGCGAATAACGAGGGAGAACTGGACTACGTACGCGCGTCGAAATTATTTCGCACCGTACGTAGCCAGCCGACGTGCCCTTGCAGTCTCCCAGCAACCACCCGCTGCTCTAAAGATCTTCCCCTTAGACGCGGGGGCCGAGTGGAGACCCCTCGGACGCCGCGGGGTTTTCACAGCTGTCGTTACGCCCCGGGGTAACTTTAGCGTCGAGTCAGGCTCGGCTCACCGATAAAGAAGTCGCTGGTGATGTCCTTCATGCGCTGCTGCAGCTCCGTGCCGAGCTTCTTGACGTTCTCCAGGTCGTCTTTCATGGAGTAGGAGAGGTCCATCAGGTAGTACAGGTCGATGGGGTAGTCGGCCGCGCGGCGGAAACGCAGGTCGATGTTCTGCGGTTGACCTGCCGGTCCGGTGGGCGGCAGTAAAGCAAATTGTTTTTTTTTTTTTACAACGCAGTGAATTGGGGGGGGGGGGGGGGAGGTCACAACTTAACCGCACCGAGAAATAACTCGCAACAACTGCCATGAGGGTAAGGTTGACCCACTAATTCGAGTAGGCTGCAATGACCGAGATACACACCATCGTTTTTGACAGGCAGGAAGGGTGTGAGCGGTGGCTGGCAATCACCGCCTATGAAAAACTAGCTTAACGCAAGTACCAAAAGCCCCGTTTATTCATCCGCCAGCAGCCACCGCCGGACGACACTACGTACGTTTGTCGAACTTTTTTCTCACCGTAACGTAGCCGACCGTGCTGTGATACTCGGGCAAGCAAAAATGAGGAGAGCAAAACGAGCCTCCAGACCGACGATTCACGAGCACTGCTGCGGCACCACGACTCTGTCGAGGAGCCACCGGTGATATCGTCGTTGTCGAGCTGCCAGTGCTCGACAAAGGTAGGAGGGGAACTCCACCAGCCAGAGGTCGCAAACGGGTTTTGATTCCTTACCCGTACCCGTACCCGGCCGCACCAGGGTCGCAAATGGGTACCCGTATCCGGCCGGGTACGGGTACCCGTTCCCTACCTGAAATGAGTGACAAATGGTTACTCACCAGTGACTCATGGCATACCCGTACCCGTACCCGGCCGCACCAGGGTCGCAAACGGTTACCCGTACCTGGCCGGGTACGGGTAGCCGGGTATCGGGTAGGGTACGGGTATCGGGTACCCGGTTGCGACCTCTGCCACACGGCCACCCTGCGCGCATGTACATGCACGCACACACACGCACGCGCACCTGAGCGGAGCGTGAGTTCGATCAGCTGCGGAGCAATCTGCGTGATGTCCTTGGCCGGCAGCTTGCTGCTGCGGTCGGTGAGTTTCTTGTCCTTGAGGATCTTCACCTTGCCCGTGGGGCTCTCTATGGACGTGGGCGGGCACTTGCGGCGCTCCAGGTTGTCCGCGTAGTCGCAGCGTGCCGAGTTCGACTCCCCCGGCCCGGTGAAGTCCTAAAATCGGCGAGCGACGGGCGGAGACAACGACACGAGCGGTGAGCGGGGGGTGACAGCGGTTCCTGTGCGCGTGTGTGTGTATTTTACATGTGTGTGTATGCACACGTGTGTGTGTGTGTGCTCAAGACTTTATTGAGTAGCTGGTGCAGTGTGTAAATATCGCCACTGGAGAGACAAAGGCGGCCGGACATGGTGTTGGTCACCCACTACCGCGGATGCTGTGCCGGCATTCATAGGTGCTCGCTAACAGCACTTGCTCCAACAATCGGGTCAGGCTATATGGGGGATCTTTATCTTTGTGTGCGGGTGTGGTTTAAAATTCTGCAGGCCACAGTGCTTACTTGCAAATTTTGTTCACAACATGCTCCTGAAATTCCTTCAATCGCTGCACTTGCTTTCTGTTGAATTCAGGATTGATTTAAAAATTCTGCTTACTACTTATTTGGCCTGTCATGGTATTGGGCCTTTATATGTTCAGGAACTGTTGATTCATTATGCAAGGCCCTTTAGTTGTTATGTTCTTGGCCTCCGGAACTCATATCAGGAATGCTGGAGCCGAAATTTTTTAAAGAAATAGTGCCTTTGTAAAGGCGGACATATGGAGAGCACACGTACAAACGTGAGTCAGAATCAGTATTTATACTCGAGGAATCTGATGAGCTATAAAGCTCAGTAGGGGCGGTCAGAAAGTTACAACAAACAACAATCTAAAAACATTATAGGAGTGCTAAGTATGGGAAAGGTAAAAAAGTCACAATTTTTTTTTTATAAACTATTTTTAAAAAAATTAAATTTTACCAGGTGAAGCCCACCGAGCTATTTAGCTTCTTGTTCAGGAGCAACCAGGCCACAAATGATAGCTCAACAAAGTGGCTTATTAGTTGGAAATGTATAGCAGCGAAATAATCGAAATGCATGTTTCTAAATGCGGAGGGAAGCTACCTGGCCACAAACTATAACTTAACGATTTTAAGCAGCCAAATAAAATAATTGTAACGCACGTTGCTACATGTGCAGTGAAAAAACTGGAAGACCCCGAAGAAAAAAAAATCCACTGGCTGATACACATACGTCGGTATACGTTCGATACGCCTAAATCGGCATTCGTCATTGGCACTACGACAGAGTTACCAATGCGGTTCCCATGTGTTTCCTCTACCTCTGTCACAGATCCAACCCCACGTTGACTCTCCAGAACCCCCCCCCACCTCCTCTGGGCTTGACAAACCACACGGCCTGTCGTCTTATGTGGCCCGATGTTTTAGTCCGGTGTTCTTCCTTGCAAGGCCTGCAGGAAGCCACTGGCGGCCCCCCCGATGGGTTTTAGTGCGGCCCCTGATGTGGCGACCCCTTGCAGGCGGTGTGGTGGCTCTTACGCTGAAGATGTCTTACTGGGCGAAAGTGGGCCCTCTAAAAATTAGTGAAGAACACTGCTTTATTTTTCGATTTAAAGCTTTCGTGACTGCAGGGATTCATCTTCTTGGTTCTTTTGGTAAAGTCACGTAGAATGAAAATAATAAAATAATAAAAATAAAACATAAAATAATTCTCACGACGTTTCACACTGCTTTAGTCCGATTACACACACACACCGGTGCAATTATCGCCATTAATCTACGCCTACTTTTCTGTTACTTAATTTGACTGCAAAAGTTTTTTTCCCAAAATAACTTGTCAAAGCAAACTTTTTCGAATTGTAAATGTATTTGAATTAATATTGGTTAATTTTCGCGATTTTTTTTATTTCTCCCATGACGTTATAAAATGTCCTTTTCCTTCATTGCTCAACTTGATTTTCATGTTCATTGCTTTTGCCATTTTGGGGACCATGGTCACTCTTGAAAACAAGACTCCATCCTGGCGCTCTTGCGTTTTTGCCTCGTCTAGACGAAATAATCCTGGAACCTGTGACTTCACCCGTAGGTTTTGTGCTTGGGGTATCGATGGAGCAGAGTAAAAGACTGACACATGAATAACCTCAAGCTCGAAAGCTTTCCGTGTCCGAGAAAAATGTCTAAATTGCTGTGTTGGTTATTCTGGCGAGGCGGCCAGGTTAATGATTTCATGAATTATTTTCGACCCGGGAAGAGCGTTGTTGTGCAACTCACAGGCTTTGTACACCAGGCACACTTGCCGCCAACCTGAATGCACTCTCCACATGACTTGGCATTAGCAGACAAACACTCGTTGGTCGTCTCTGCAAACGACAGGCAGCACACAAAACACACACACGTGTATAAACACAGCACAGTGTGAGTGCCTGTGTGCGTGTGTATTCTGTGTGTGTGGGGAGCAGTGGTGTAGCGTTAGCGCGCGCTGCATTGCAAACCTGGTGACCCGAATTCGATTCCCACTCACGGCCAACACCAGTGACGATTATCTGAACCGGTCCTGGGCCTCCCCTAGGTCGACCCAGCCTCAAATGAGTACCTGGTGCGGTGTGTAAAAATCGCCACTTGGGAGACAAAGGCGGCTGGGCGTGGTGCTGGCCACCCACCCCCTCGTATGCTGTGCCGGCCTTCATAGGTGCTCGCTAACAACACTTGCCCAAACAGTCTGTTAAGGCTATACGGATGTTCTTTGTCTTTGTTTTTGTCTTTGTATTGTGTGCGAGTATGGGGAGCGGTCGTGCAGGCGCTACGAATCCGGCCGCCCGAGTTCAATTCCCGCTCACGGCCAACAGCGGTGAAGATTATCTGAACTGGTCCTGGGCCTCCCCTAAGTCGACTCAGCCTCAAATGAGTACCTCACACGATGTGAAAAGATCGGCAATGGGGAGACAATGGAGGCCTGGGCGTGGTGCTTGCCACCCACCCCCTCGTGTGCCGTTCCGGCCTTTATAGGTGCTACTCGCTTACAGAACTCGCCCTGCCGTTTGTCTTATGTCGCTCATGCAGTCTTCGTCTTGGTAGAAGGCAACAAAGATTCCTGTTTACATTTTAAAATGCATGCTATATATGGTAAAAGCGTTGTTAGAGAGCGCTTATGAAGGCTGGCAGAGCACACTCGAGATGGATGTGGCCAGCACAATGCATACTCAGTACGGATTTCCAAAACTAAAACACATCAGGTACCCACTTTAGGCTAAGTAAACCTAACCAAGGTCCAGGCCTAGTTCAATTACCAAAATTAATTAATATAACGTGGATGCATCCTAATGAATGGGGAAATGTTACGTACAGTGCATGAATGCATCTCGAAGTATACATTCGGCTAAACTATGACACAAATACAATATTAAATTCATCCTGACACACGTGAATAACAGCCATAGATCTGGAAGCAAAGGCCACCAAGCTTGATTTGTAACAGTCTGACTCACCACAGTGGCATTTAATAGTGGAATGCATTCCAGAAGGGCCAGTGTAAAATTAGTAGCCGTGGGGCAAGATTTGGCCTCCGAGGCTGCTAAATATATTTTAATGACTTGAGATGCACTTCAAATCCAGGCACGTTCCGACATGTGCACTGGCGTGATAGCAAAGGCACAAGGTTATTTACCCAGGAATGTTGAATTATTTTACTCAAACTACACACATCCAATCCAACCATTGAACAATGACGGTTACCGTATCGCGCGATTTTAGTTGCGGTTCTGTGGCCATCTGGAACGCTCTTCCTTCCGATATTAGGAAGCCACTGGAGCTATGCACTTTTAAATTTAGATTGAAAACTCATTTCTCTAGAACTGCTTTTTGTTTTGTATTTGTTGTCCTTCCCCCGCACCTCCGATTAGCGCGTTTGGTTCCGTACGGTGCGAAATCAGCTCAACATACATGCATAGAAATGTGTACTTGCGTGATAGCAAAGGCACAAAGTGATTTACCCAGTAATGTAACATCATTGAGCTCAGAATACACACATCCAATCACGTGTGCAAGAATCAACGTGTTTTTATTTCTTACAAGTTGTATGGGGAGCAGTGGTGCATTGATTGGTTAGCGCAATAGTCAAGGCTATATCATCAGTGGCGAGTTAAATGTCTAAACTGGCCCTGCTCTCCCCCCCCCCCATCAGCAACACGCTGTGACCGGCATGGTGAAGTACGGTCAAACAATCCCCATGAGCAGAAAGGCGTGGGAAGGCCTGAATCCAGCAGTGGCTTGACGAAGGTCTGTAACTTAGCATTTATGATAATTATTCTTACACGTTGCATGTCATTTTTGTTACGTGACCTCTGGAAACATGTAGTGGCCACTTTAGTTGATGGAATTGTTAAAAAGTAATTGATTAATGAATCGTGACAATTCACAGAATGGGGGGGGGGGGTCTCGGGTGGGGGGGGGGAGTGGGGGTGACCCCTCTGCTGGTCATTGTCCCCGCTACCAAAGTTAAAGTTGTATTTTCAACTGGCCATCGTCGTGCACCGATTTTCTTTCTCAAAGCCTTTAGTTGTCGACGAAGTGGTTTAAAATAAAAGAGAAACGTACGCGTCGTTCAGACCAAGAGCAAAGCCCCGGCAAAGTAAACGCCGCTCACGTAATCGCGGGGCGTCACGCAGCAAACGCAAGCAACATCCTCCAACGTCTTCGTAAACACTTTGCGGGCGACGATAAAAAATTCGCGATAAATAACGGCGGCCCCGTTTGTTTTGGTTGGCACCGTGCTGTTGAGGAGCCGCCCACATTACTTTACGTAACCCGACAAAACGAAATAAACTCCTGGCGTAATACCTTCAGTGAAGATAAACACTTCCACCGCGTGGCATTAACCATGTGCACGGGTTGAATGTTCAAGCGGCTGGAAATTAAAATTCACAACTTGGCATCCAGATTATTTTTCTCACCTTGTTGGGCAAAGCACGCCGAGTTGATCATTAACATGCAGCAAAGTACGGCCACAACATCTCTCTTGGCTCCCATCTGTGAAAAATAAAACACATAAATTACACTTTGTTTAACACTATGCACTGTGATTCATAGAATATATTTACCTGTATATTACATCTGTTAAGCAATTGCTCAGTGGTTCGCTGGATTCCAATTCACGACATCCAAACTACGAGCCTTAAAGCAAACCACTGTGATCTGCGCTCTTTCAACGGAGAAGGAACAGTAAAACTACACGCACTCTCACTCTTAGATTTTTCGGTAAAGTCATATGACTTTAAGTCATATGACTTTAAGTCATATGACTTTACCGAAAAAACCTATGACTTAAAGTCATATGACTTTACCGAAAAAACCTAAGAGTACGAATCCTTGCAGTCACGAAAGCTTCAAATCTACACGCACGCTCTCATGAAGCCCTCTCTTCGTGGCCAACAGGCCTCAACATTGGCACGTCGCTTGCTGAACATATTGCTGCCATACGAAAGAAGGGAACAGTGGTTAGAGATCATTGCCCTAGGGCTGCGACTGCCGGCTATGGCAAACATGAGGCGGTGGTTCATAATGTGAACCGGTCCTGGGCTAAAGCCTCACCAACCCACAATAACCAGGGTGGTGTGGAGGTCTGATCAAACAAGTCTAATGACAACCCTAAGATGGTGGTCACCAATTTCAGACGCGCTTCTGCGGCCGTCTGGAACGCTCTTCCTCCTTTCGATATTAGGAAGCCACTGGAGCTGTGGCACTGTTAAATATAAATTGAAAACCGATTTCTTTAAAACTGCTTTTTGTGTTTAGTTTGTTGTCCTTCCCCCGCACCTCCAATTAGCACGGTTTGGCTACGTACGATCCGACAGAAGATTCAACATACAGACAATACATTTTGAAGGTTATATTTACGCCGAGACTATTTAACTATAACGTATGTTGAAATTCTTTCGCACCGTACGCAACTCCAGGAAATAGAGAACTCAAAGTTAATTCGGGGGAAAAACACCTCTAGCCTGCCTTCCTGACCTGCCACGCTTATTTACAAAAGCTATTCAAGCGACGGAATTTTAAATGGGAATGGCAATCTGACGGCAGACAGAATCCAAGACGCGGAATTGAAAATGACTGCTGCTATTGAGAACTCTAAAGAGTGGTCAAGAGAAACCCCCCCCCCCCACCAACCCCCAAAGCCAGCTTGCACGACCTGGCATATGGTTTCTACAATTATTTACTCCGCGAAACATTGAAGGTAACAAAGTGTGGCGCTCCAAAGTACCGCAAACAGACGACGGCTTTTGCTCGGCGATGTTGGCTGCAGGGAGGCACGGCGTGCGGCCACCGACAATGCCGGGCCAGCATCAACGCGAGCCGAAGCATTGTACGTATGCGTGCATGTTGAGCCACATTGTAGGGGCGCACTCGTTACACACAAAGCGCTCGCCACAAATGAACCAGCAAACACCACGCTGATCTCGTCAAAGAGCATAAACCATCGTCACGCCGACTCTTAGACCTTCACGCAGCAGCAGCGACGGCGGCGGCTTTTGGCCGGCCGGCGAACAAAGACGGCGGTCGCCGCATCGAGCTCTTTCAAATCAAGTTTTCAAGTTTAAAGTTTCATTTATTAGGTGTAGCACTGTGAGCCATGCGGCTCTTGAGTCGGGTGCAACCGCAACAAACAAAATATGAACAGAGAACATCTTAAAGCGACGACGCGCAACAGAAACATCCTGGAAAAACCAGCAAATCTTCCAGAAAAAAAACACTGTATTACCACGCTGTGTGCAAAAATCCCAATATGATGCAAGTCAAACAATAACAACCATAAGACATAATAATAATAGGTTGCGTGCTTCTGCGGCCGTTTGGAATGCTCTTCCTTTCGATATTAGGAAGCCAGTGGAGCTATGCACTTTTAAATCCAGATTGAAAACTCATCACTTAAGAATTGCTTTTTGTGTTTAGTTTGTTGCCTTTCTAGCACACCTACGATTAGCAAAGTTCGCCGAGTACGGTGCAAAGGACGTTAAAAATTACACACGTGCATTTGCATTTACGCAATGGAACACAAAAACAACAAAATAACAACTTCATCACGAATGCCAAAAGAGTCCGGATGCGGCAGCGCGCGCGCACACGCACGGTGGCCGCAGCGTCGCCCACCAACGGTCTGCCGTCACCGCGGAACTGAGCATGCAAAGCCATTGCCGTTGAGGGTGTGGCGATATCAGCGGAGAACAATAACAACCACAATGTGGGAGACCAGCGGGGACTTGAAGAAAGGGGGAACAGTTGTGGTGGCGGTGGCGGTGGGAGGATGTGCAGATGCCATGAGAAAGGGGGAAGGAAAAACGCATGATGAGGAACAATTCTAACGAGTCACAGCCCCAAGTGTCAGATAAGAACACTCATCTGATAACTGCCCTTCTTCACAGCAGCGAATGACCATTTCCCAAAATGTTGCCTTTAGATAGAGTTGATTCTCCTCTCTCGTGCTATTGACGGATGAGTTGAGTTTTTCTTGAGATGAAATTATTTCGAGAACCACTCGGCTATCCAACCGCAATGTTTGTATGTCGTTCGCTCGCAATCGAGGCGACCTATCGCCAAAGAATGCAGGGCGAACTGGCGAAAAGGCACAAATCATCCGCGTAGCAAGCAAAATTAACTCTAAACTAAACTATTTTGATTTCAGAAAGTAAGGCCCACTGAGCTATACGGCTCTTTTTTAAGAAGCGACCTGGCCACAAATGATAACTCGACGATGTGGCTTATGACGTGGAAAATGATCGCAACCAAATACTCTAAACACATGTTTCTAAATAAGGAGGGGAAAAACTGGAGAACCCAGAGAAAAATCCACATGACCACGGGGAGAGAAAACACGCCAACTTCAAATACACAGCAGACGTCAGGGTCGGGATCAAACCCAGGACCTCCTGTATACCAAGCGAGGTAGTTAACATCTCACCATGGGGAGAGACACACAAACTTCAAATATACAGCAGACTTCAGGGTCTGGATCGAACCCATGACCTCCTGTATACCAGGCGAGGTAGTTAACATCTCACCACGAGGAGAGAGACACGCCAACTTCAAATACACAGCAGACGTCAGGGTCGGGACCGAACCCAGGACCTCCTGTATACCAAGCGAGGTAGTTAACATCTCACCATGGGGAGAGACACACAAACTTCAAATATACAGCAGACTTCAGGGTCTGGATCGAACCCATGACCTCCTGTATACCAGGCGAGGTAGTTAACATCTCACCACGAGGAGAGAGACACGCCAACTTCAAATACACAGCAGACGTCAGGGTCGGGACCGAACCCAGGACCTCCTGTATACCAAGCGAGGTAGTTAACATCTCACCATGGGGAGAGACACACAAACTTCAAATATACAGCAGACTTCAGGGTCTGGATCGAACCCATGACCTCCTGTATACCAGGCGAGGTAGTTAACATATCACCACGAGGAGAGAGACACGCCAACTTCAAATACACAGCAGACGTCAGGGTCGGGACCGAACCCAGGACCTCCTGTGTACCAGGCAAGGTAGTTAACATCTCACCACGGGGAGAGAGAAACACGCAAACTTCAAATATACAGCAGATGTCAGGGTCGGGATCGAACCCAGGACCTCCTGTATACCAGGCAAGGTAGTTAACATCTCACCACGGGGAGAGAGAGACACGCAAACTTCAAATATACAGCAGACGTCAGGGTCGGGACCGAACCCAGGACCTCCTGTGTACCAAGAGAGGCAGTTAACATCTCACCACCACGGCGACCCAACAGAACTCCACGGACAACGATGCCCCTCAGCCCGGCACGGACTGTAGCGGCTGGAGCACCTCCTTGAAGAGCGGAGTCGCGAGCATCCCTCAGCAGTGACGCAGGCAGTGCCATCGCGCGCCGCGCAACACGCATTCCTTCTCCATATAGAGCGCATTGGTCGTTTCAAGCCGAAACTAACGACAAAACCAAATTTCCCGTGCGAGCGCACACACACACAACCCTCCGCATCCCTCTAACCCCTTCCGACGGTGGTGGGGGGTGGTGGGGGGGGGGGGGGTCAGCCACGCACCTTTTGTTTGTCGCCTCGTCCCAAGGAAAGTTGCAAGACGGAGTCGTAAAAAAAAAGATCCACGGGTTTTCTGGCTTTAAATCACTGTAATCCGTGGCACAAAGGCAAAACTCTCGCGGCCAAATGTCCCGAACAGCCCGGAGAGAGCGAGCGGGCCACAGCTCACGCACGCAGCGCGAATCTAACGGAAAGGCGTCCTCATCAAGCGCGCTCGCTCGCTCCAGATACGTTGGTGGTGACCTTTTCTGTGCCGCCGCCGCCTCCGCCACCCACCAGTCGCGCAACGGAACGCAAAGTTTAAAGAAGTCGGTCCCGGCGAGCCGGCTCTGGCAGCGGGAGAATGCGCGCGCGTGCGATGACCCTGCAGTGAGTGGGAGGACGGGGTGCGCGAGGGACGTGTGTTGCGTGTCTGTGTGCGTGCCTGGGGGAGAGGAAGAGAGGAAGAGAAGGGAGGGGGGGAGAGGCAGGCCGGGAGGCTTGGACTCACGAGAGACGGGCACTCCGGAGCAACTACCCTTCAGCGAGGCCCAACAGCTGATGGTGGGCGGCAGCATCACAAAGGAATGCGGGACGCCAGCCTCCACTGCTCCACTCACGGGCACGTGGTATTTGTGAAGAGGGGGCAACCGACTGGCTCGGGCTATTTAAGGGATCGTTACAAATAGCCGGCACTGCCGTTGCAGGCCTTGAACAGTGGTTCCGGCATGCTGTGCTCGAAAATACAAAAGTTTTAAAATATATATTTTTTAAATGTGTTGGCCGGGTAGCCGTGTGCCGCTCTATCTGCGCGGCAATAAGAGACGGAGACAATCTTGAACCAGACCTCCGATGTGTTTTTTGGGTTGTCTCCGAGTGATGTCTTGACGTCTTGCTTGTGTATTTGCCGGGGAGCTTCTTCAGGAACTCGTGCAGAACAACGCACGGCGCAAGCTACAAACGCATCGGAGAGCTAAATCCTCAAAACACGTGTTCGGTAAAAAGTTGGCTAATACAGTTTCTTGACTCATCACAGCCGAGTTCGGTCAAGGTGTCTCATTGCTCAGCAATGGGGGCGATACTCATCTCTGCCCACACCGAGTCATTGGTGTCGCCTCCACATTCCCAGGACGTGCGACAGTCGCTAGATGCGATGACCGCTGTTGACTTGCCCACGACCAAATCTCCCAAACGTGTCCGATATCGGTGGCCAATCGAAGCTAAGCAAAGTGGGCCCTGGATAGTCCTTGGATGGGCAACCACCATGTATAACATAGGTGTCGCAGGCTGCAATAGGGGTGGTGCATCCAAAGAACAAGTGTGCAAAAATATGAAGAGGCTTTTACCCTCTCTGGCAATACAACAGGAGGTGATAAGATGTTCAAACACCAAATAGAAACCTTTCGCAAGGAATCCAGTTAGTGCATTAACCACACCAGGTGCTTGTGGGGAACTTGCAAACAAACATGCTCTGATAATATATGGGCATCGTCTTCGCAAGTGATTGGCCTACACCAGAGACAGCCTTCTGCATACATTATTTTCCATGCTGTGGATTTCACACCTGATGATGATTGCTTGTGTTGCAGTCAAAACGTCGTGAGAATTTTTTATTGTTTTATATTTATATTATTTTATTATTTCCCTTCTACGTGACTTTACCGAAAGAACCAAGAATAGGGTAAAACCTATTCTTATTTGTCATACTTGGATACTGCCAAAAAGGTCCCGTGATGAAAGAACAATTGTTGGACTCGACGATGCTCCAAGGTCTAAATGCTGCTTGCTTTCAACAACCTACGCTGACCAAGTATGGTGAAGTAACCACCATGGCGCGCGTGGGGTGGAGAGGCCCTCATTTAGCAGTGGATGGACACCCAGTGCTGCTGCGCATGTGCATTGTTGACACCCCACTAAGGGTGAGCTCCGTTAATCCACCCGGGAGGGATGAGAGTGTGGGACAAACACGACGAAGATACATTCGTATTTTCCGCACTCCTATTCCGGTTGTTCTATTTCTTATCATGCGATGGGGACAGTTCCAATTCAGAACTGCCGCAGTACAGCATCGCACGACTCCCGTGTAAAAGTACGGCTTACAGTAGCAGGTGGATTTCAGAGATTCACTTGTGGGGTGGGCTGAGCTTTTGTGAGCTCCTGACAAAACAACTTGTTAACATTTCTCCGGTTTTCTGAAAAAACTAAAATAAATTGGCATATGTGACAACTTGATTTCATTGGCTCTGTTAGGTGGTGGAGGGTTATAGGGGTGCTGTGGTGGCGGGATGTTAACTACCTCACCTGGTATACAGGATGTCGTGAGTTCAACCCTGATATTTGGGGTTTCCATGTTCTCCCCGTGGTCCTGTGGATTTTTATCCGGGTCCTCCGTTTTTTCCCTTTACATTTATAAACATGCGTATAGTCTTCGGGGTGATAATTTCAGCGTAATAAGCCACTTCGTTGAGCTATCATCAGTAACAAAAAATACCTACGCGATGGTCTATTCCTAAAGAAACTACCGTAATTATGAACCATAGCAAAATTAGTCGTGAGAGCCTACGTATCAATATAAATTCTGAGCTTAAGTTTCAAGTAATATCTGATCCAAACACACTGCTACAAGCAAATCTTCACGGCACGACAACCAAACTAAACTGTATTACTCCCGACAGCTAGAATTTATATACAATGTTCAGAATCAAATTTTTAAGTGATAGGTTCGAATTTGTGTACGCAGTCATTGGTGGCTGGACCAATAAACCCAGTGCACTTCGAGCATCCGGTTCTAATCTCGGTTTGGTGGCTGAAACCAGAGGTCGCAAACGGGTTTTGATTCCTTACCCATACCCGTATCCGGCCGCACCAGGGTCGCAAATGGGTACCCGTACCCTACCCGATACCTGGCTAGGGTACGGGTACCCGATTGCGACCTCTGGGATGAAGCCATGTTGCAGGTGCGGGTGGGTTGATTCTAGGAACTTGAATTGGGAGAAGAGACAAGACGTTGGGAAATGAGTGACAAACGGTTACTCACCGGTGACTCACGGTCTACCGTACCCGTACCCGGCCGCACCAGGGTCGCAAACGGGTACCCGTACCCAGCCGGGTACGGGTAGCCGGGTATCGGGTAGGGTACGGGTATCGGGTACCCGGTTGCGACCTCTGCCCCATAGCCACTTACCACCCTTATCAGGAATTGAACTCGCTTATTTTTTGGTCAAGAGTCGAGCATTCGCAACTTCAGCAACCATGAGGGCAGTTTTGTTCGGTTGACTCGCTCTGCTCAAAGTGAATTGTAGGAACACAAAGGTCGCAATAAACGGAACTCAATCGGCCTTGAGACCTTCAAGGCAGATCCAGAGATGTTGTGTTCAAGCAATCGCAACTGGGAATTAGGTCCCGTAGGTTCACAGATTAAATGCGATTTCCTTCCGGTGGTTAAACAAAGCTCCTGAAGCTAATTCTTTATTTGAATTATACTGTAATTTTACCAAAACACTGGGCTCATTCACCGAGGTTTAAGGCTATACTGTAGCTGAAAAACTCATTAATACTCGTATCTGCATGTCCTTCACCAACGCTCGCTGACCAGCGCGGCGAAGTATGGTCAAATAACTCCCACCAGCCGCACAGTGCAGGAAGGCCCTCGTACAGAATTTAATTGACGCATCATCGTCCGTGGTCTATCCACTGCTGGATAAAGGTTTCCCTCATGCCACCATCATCTCTCACGATCCTGCGATGCAATTATCAACCTGGCACCGTCACAGGAACTGGTGTCATCTCCCCACCTCCTCGGACGCGTTCCATTTTCATCTCGTCAAGGAGCATAAACCTTCACGCAAACTCCGGTCATCATCGTAGACGGTCACTGCATCGCGCGCTTTAAGATGCGCGTCTGCGGCAGTCTGGAACGTTCTTTCTTTCTTTCGCTATTAGGAAGACAATGGAGCTATTCACTTTTAAATCTAGATTGAAAACTCACTTCTTTAGAACTCTTTTACTGTGTTTAATTTGTTGTCCTTCCCTCGCACCTCTAATTAGCATGGTTAGCTACGTATGGTGCAAAATAAGTTAAACATACAGTACATAATTCCTTGGTTGTACATGCCCAGTAATGTAGCCGCTGCATTCACCAGTTATCAGTGGAGGAAGTGGAACTTCGTTTTATCCCCACTGATACAAAGGGGCATTGTTGGGTGGATGTATTATCCGCCTATCTGCATATTTCAATGATCTTATTTTTCATGAAGACAGGCGGATGGTGGAAATTAAGTATATTTTGCCGGTAGTATCCGAAAAGAATCGTCAAACATTTTTCAGACACGTCGCTGGTGCCCATATTTTGAGCTCAACAAGTTCCGTGCAGGATTTGCACCTCCACGCGCATTATGGGACGAGTGTTTACACAGCTTGCGGATTTACCGCTCTTACCCGTGGAGAAAGTGCCGATATTCGGAAGAATCATTGCGTGGCTAAGCGCTAGATGTGCGGATCGATTCGGACTCGCGGACAATCGACATAGCAGCTAATAGGCGGACCGGTAGAGGGCACAGTGCATTGCGTCACTTGCTTCCCATGAGTTTATTGCTGGGAGCAAGCAGGAAGGAGTCGAGGGCTGCCCACGCAAGAGGTGGGCTGAAGGCAGAGGGGGAGTTGCAAGAGAAGAACGCAGGTCCAGGGCAGTGGTTTCTCAAGCGTGTTTGACTCGAGGACCACCCGGCCGATGCAAACATTTCCATGGACCACCCCCAGTACCCCCCCCGACTCCGCCCGCCCCCGGTGACAAAACACATTCACTTCTCTCTCCAAATACCAGGAACACAAAATAATTCACATTACCGGTATAATTTTCATGCAGCTTTAAGGTTTTTTTTAGGAGGCGGGGGGGGGGGGGGCATTTAGATTTCAGGGTTATGGTAGTTTACCTAACTTCAGCCAAAGCCAATAGATAACAGGGGAGACGGCGCGCGTTAGTAACACGCGTCCGTGCGGGAATTATTCAAAAAGCTCGGCAGGAGAACCTGCGAGTTGAAAGGAGGCGGCGGTCAGATGCGGTCAAATGTGATGAACGCTTTGGCAGCGGATTTAAAATCCGTCTTGGTAGAGTCTTAGCACGGTAAACGGACGCACTTTTTTGTGGCCTAGAGATGCGCCCCACGAGGAGGCGCGCGGCTTCGGACGTTAACCCAACGAAGGCGACGGTGGCCGATTTTACTCGTGGGGACCCGAAGGTCGCCGTTTGTCGTCACGCAAAACGAACCGAAAGCAGTCACAATGGTCACCGTTTGGCGGGGGGTGGTGCGGTGTGTGGGGGGGGGGGCAGCGTTGCGTTCGAGAGTGAAACGGTGGAACACAATGGACCCACAGGAGAAAAATGGACCGACAGGAGAAAAATGGAACATGCGTGCCCCACTTTTCAAGTCGCATGACAATTGCCCCCCCCCCCTTCCTCGGTACTCTTGGGAGGGAGGAATCAACTGCCCGCCGGTTAA